CACACACACACACACACACACACACACACACACACTGAAACTCTGTATATTACGTCAGATAAAAACTGTGAGCCAAAGATAAGGCCTGTGTGACAGAATAATATTCTGTGTCCACTGCTTCAGTTTGAATTCAACAGTATAATCCAGATGTTTGCATGTGTTCAGAGCGTGGAGGTTCATCATGCAGAACCTGGTCAAGACAGGTTCTCTGCTGGTGACGGTTCCCAGTCTTCAGGAGAGTCTGGACGCTCTGCAGGTGAGACTCCGTTCTGTTCTACACGACCTCCAGCAGGTTCTGAAGGTCTTGTGGAGGTTTATGGTTGAACGTCACATACACTGCTTTCATTTCCCTCACACAGATTAAGGGTCAATTGTTTGTTCAGTGTATTTTTGTAACAACACTCGTCATAATTTGCACGATATCCTCAGTTGATTCATTTCACCTTTTAAAAAGCAGCTGTGACGTGAGGAGCTCCTGGTTCACTCACTGTTTCTAAGAATCATGGACGACCTCAGCGACTCACAGATGAACCGCTTCAGTCGTATCGTAAAAAAGTCAAAGCTACAAGAAGCTTGTCGACATAAAACTTACCACTCCCACAATGCATTTCATTCCCGAACATCCAATCACAGAGCTGCAGCTTGAATCCTGACCTCAAATGACCTCGAAAGCTTCAGCTGAAACTGTGATTGGCTGCTTGATGGTGAAATGCACATTGGGAGATGTAGTTTTTTAAATATCCACAGGCTTCACGTAGCTTTGAGTTTATATAGTTTGTTCACTTAGTTAATTTATAACATGATGGAATTAAACTGTGTCCAACAGGAGGCGCTGCGTCCTGGCTGGGTAGAGGAACTTCCTGTGGACTACGACGTTTACCTGGGCAGAGACACGGACCCAGAAGCCCTCAGACAGATCCACCTGTACAGGGTCATGTGAACTGGTCTCCACAACTGGTTCGGACCAGTCTGAACAACTTAAACTAGTCTGGAACAGTCGGATTCTAAACTGGAATCAAGGCTGAATCGGTCCCGACTGCTGGACTGGTTTTAACTCATGATCCCTCATTGGACGCGGTGTGAACCAGTCTGAATCCTGATGTCTATGAATGCATCTGTGTGGAAGCTGCTGTGTAAACAGACGACACAGTGAAACATCTGGAATTAGAACTGAAACTAACAAAGGTCCAGATTAATAAATCCAGAATTCTCCTCTGTCACTGTGACATCACAGCTGTGTCATGGATTATGTGACATCGTGGGACGTTGTGCTGTGAGGTCATGACATATGAAATGTGACATCACAACATATTTCTTTGTGAATGATGCAGAACTTGAATTATATTTTTATGAATCCTCTGAATTAAACATGAAAAAGTGACACATGTTTCCACGGCGACGGCGTCTTCACTTTGTCTAAAGAGATACTTTGGTGGTTGAAGGTCAAAGGTCAAGGTCACTGTGACCTCATATGAATGAGACAAGATGTTTTCACATGTCCACTGATTTCTCTGAATTTCTCTGAGTGTGGATGTGGTTCAATGAGGACACTGTTGGAGCTCTGAGCTTCACCGACTGCTTCCTCTGGTTCCATCAGAGCAGACAGAGATAAGGTGAGTCTGAGTCTGTCTCTCTGAGTCTCTGTCTCTCTGAGTCTCTGTCTCTC